TGTCTTTTTACCTGTATATGTGTTCTGCTTATTTTCCACCAAATATTTGACATCTATCTTTTACTTTCTAACTATTTTCACTTAACATAATCCAATAATGTCCCAAATATCACTATTTAATATTTCTTCATAGCTGTATAACATTCCATAGAATGTAAGTTCACAATGTTTTACCCTTCCACAGTTGAGGGGCATATAATTCCTGATTTAAAAATTACTACAAAAATACTATCTATGATCATGTGATAATAAAGACAGACAACAAGATCAATGGAATAGATTAGGATATAAAGAAATATTCACATGCTATAAATGGGCAAAAAATATCCAGAGAGAAAATTAGACTGATTAGAAAACTGGCTAGCCACAAAAAAAATAATGAATTTAGACCCTTCTTACTACCATGGTGAACACAAACAGAAAACAAAACACTTGAGAGGAGAAAGCATACAATGTACAAAAAATGAACAATGAAGTAAAATATATATAAGCATAAACAAATTAAAAAATAGGGATGTTAAAAAAAATAACAATGTGAAATGGATCAAACCTAAGCATAAGACTTAAAACTATAAGTCTTATAGACAATAATATAGAGGAAATATTGGACTTGCTCATGATTTCTTGAAAATAAATATACAATTAAAGATAATTAGAAAAACTGACTTCAACAATTTAAAAATATACCTGTACAAACAGTGATTACCTACAGAATGGAGAAAATACTTTGAAATCACATACTTATAAATGAAATAATATCTGAACTTTCAGAGAACTGCTAAAATTCAACAAGCACACAAACAAAAAAACTAATTTAAAAATGGTCAAATGCTTGAATAGACATCTCACCAAAGAGTATATGTAAATTGATAATAAACACTTTAAAATGCTCACAATTCACTAGTCATGAAGGAAATACTAATGAAATATTAGATCTCATGAACCATTCAAATGGCTACTAAAAACATAGAGAAAACTAGTCTGATATAAGTGTGGCAGAGTTGAAACCGGTCCATTCTTTATGGGAATGTAAAATGACATAGGTATTATAGAAAAGAGAAAGGAGTTCCTTTAAAAATAAAATAAGCAGGCCCTCCCTGGTGGCGCAGCGGGTTAAAGCACAGCACTGAGAATCTAAAGCCGCTTCCGCATGAGTTCGATTCTCGCCTGCCCCGGAGGTGACCACATGGTGCAGCAGACCTCTCCTGACCCGCCCGCTGCTCCTCTCAGCAGTGTACTTCGTTGATCTGCCTGTTCTGCTCCCCACTCTGTCTCTGGTGAAGCCTCTCGCCGCCCCTGTGCCTCTGACCTGTACCCCAGTTCTGTATGCACAAATAAATCTTTAAAAATAAATAAATAAATAAATAAATAAAATAAGCAAAGAATTGCAATTGTATGTAATTGTGAACCTGCATTCACCTCCCAAATATATGTGCTTAAGTACTGAAAACTAAGCCTCAAGGAAATTACTTGTATATTTGAGTTAATAGCAGCATTTTTCACAGTAGCTAATACATAAATGCAACATGTTCATGGATGCATGAAGGATAAACAAAATGTTGTATTTAAATACAGTTAATATTAGTCAACCTTAAAATGAAAGAATATCTACAATATGCTTTAACATGAATAAAATTTGATGACATTATGGTATGTGAAATATCCAGTCACAAAAAAAAAAAAAGCAAGTCCTCTATTATTTCAGAGCTATAAATGGAAATAATAAACATGGAAATTATAATAGTGATTGCCACAGGATCTGGGAAACAATAATTAGTTTCAGTTTACTTCCATAAAAGATATGGAAATATAAATGAAATATTGAAGTAGTATAGATTATAATTAAATGCTGAAAGAAAATATATAATCAACATTTAGAAGAGTGATAGACAAATATGATATTAGAAAATGTCAATTTTAATTTCTACCACAGTACTGATTAGTGATGTTGTCTTTGACATATGAATCAAGCTCAGATAGTTGATATTGATTTACTTGAAGAGTAAATTGCTATAGCTATATATTTATATTTATAATATATAAATTAATATCCATAAATGCATACATGTCATGTATTAAATATATCTGTAAGATGAAAACACTATAGGTAAACTAACCCACTATTTAATAGATAATCTATTAACAAATGATGAAATTTGACATTATTTTAAATATTGGGTAAGTTTTTGGTGAATACAATATATATAATAATAAAGTATAATATTAAAAATAAATGAGAAAGCCAGAATAATAAAACATATATTTATTAATATTTTCATTATAACTGTAAGTGAAAAGTTACTGTTAACTTCATGATTCTGAAAATCCCAAGTTGATTTATCAAAATAAACCTTCATCCATTTCTCTAATGGGCATGGTAAACCCAAGGATGATGTCACTTTTCTATTTATTTTTGCACCTTTAACCGTATCACACTCCATTTGCCTATCTGTATGAAGCACACAGTATCATCTGATGGTGGCTTCCACCAAACAGGTAAGCAGAACTGAAGGAGCAAAAGGGTGATTCTATTATTGGCATCATATTTTGCTGACCATTTTATTAATTCTTAACATCATCTCCTCAATGATTTGCTTATCACCTATTTTAATCATATAAGCTAATGCAATTTTCCTTATAGAATCCTTACTATAACCCTTGTTTATTCTAGTACATTAGAAAATATATTTTCAATTTATAATTATTGATGAAATAAATAATACACCTATTGGAAGATTAACATATTTGTTTCAATGTTCTCCTAGCAGAAATAATCGCTCACAAATTAACATCACTGATCATACAAAGGAAGAGATTGATGTTAATTTGTGAGGGATTATTTCTGCTAGTAGAACATTGAAACAAAATGTTAATCATATTTTTGTTTCCATTTTCAAACTTATTGTTGACCTAAAATCAAAACAGCTCAGTTTGGAGAGATAGCTGTGCCCCCTAAAGATCAAGGAAAAGTTAGTGTTGTGTGTCCCACAGCTAATTGAGAGAAAATCCTCCCAGAAGTTAAATTATATTAGATATTTTCCAAAAGAACTTGAATTTTTTTAAATCAATGGATAAAATGGGTACTATAGATTCTTGTGAAGATTAAATGTGATACAATATAAACACTTGTTGGAAAACCTCAATTACAGGTTCATTATTACTCTAACCACCACCATCAATGTTTCCCCAAGTTAAACATGCTGTTCACAATATCATGCAATTGAACAGGGAATACAATGAATAGTCAGTTTCTTTGCATAGAACCTATAGCATCATTGTCTGTGTGATGTTAGTTATGAGTTGATCATAGTCATCTCTATTTATCCAAGTGTATTAAGGATTTGCATAGTGTGATAAGAACCCTCCTGTTCTTCCTCCATTGTTCAACAAACAACTTTGTGGTTTAAACATACTCTAAAATTTCTAACGTTTTACAGAAAGAAAAATCAGCATTCCTTTTTGTTGGTGAGAGCTTGAAATAACATTTAACAAGTCAGAAATTGAAAGCTGCAGTTATTTAATCTTTCAAAGAGAAAAATATAGAGGGAGCCATTATTAACACCTTAAGGAAAGTCAGATGATTGTTGTGTGCACTGATCTTTCTTATTTCTATTGGAATTTTATTAAAAGTCTACCTTAAATAACACATTTATGTGATATAGGCATATTTAAACATATATACATTTTCTGTCTCAGTAGATGACTATAACTCTATAAATGTAAACAAATCTACTATGACTTTGGTTTTACTTGAGTGTCTAACATAGATTCAGCCTCCAAGGAGCATGGGGAATCAAGGGTCAGAGACATCTCAGTGTAGTTTAGTTGTGTACTCTGCTCTTTATTTTCATGAAAGATTACTATGTGCATTTAAGCTGATGACATTCTAAGATATAACTAGTAGTCTGGTAATGATCAGTGACCACCTAAATACAACTTTCACTCTGACATTTAAATTTATAAGATAAATTTCATATACTGCACATGAACAAGATGAAATTGGGTTAAAATAAGAAATATTTATATTTTTATTTCTATACTCATATATTTACTTTTATTATATATTTATATAAAAGTATTATGCATATACATACATACATATAAACATGATTTGGGGGGGGCTAGAGAAATTATGTTCAAATGACCCACAAATTAATGAATAAATATTGAAACTGGAAAGGTAAAGTAATGTATCTCATAACTAAAGAGAACAATACAGTCATCTCTTACATAAATTCTGCATAAAAGTTAAGGTAGATAATAACTTTAATGGGATATGTGTTTATTTTTCTGTAATTGGTAATATTATAAACATTTTCATAAATTTCCTTAATTAATAGTCACCATAACTAAGGCCAAAAAATATTTTGTCCTCATTTTATGTACTCTGGATTATGAAATAGTGGGTAGTGAAGAGTTTGGTCAGTGATGTGGCGAGCTGAGATTTGAACTCATTGCCACAGGCCCATAAGTCTCCAAAAGAACAATCACATGTGAGGGCCCTGAACCACTCCTGCAGTATGTGATTTATGCACACTGCAGACAACAGATACACATGGCCATGAAGGAAAGTGATCCAAAATTTATGTATTTTTGCTCCCACTTGAATACTTTCAAAATGCTTCTTATGTTTAATGTATACTGAAGACTGTTGTAAGATTTAAGTTGGATTCTCCAAGCAAGAAATAAGTTAAATTTATATTTGTATAAAAAACTGCAGTTTTTTTTTCACTCATTACTTTTAATTCAATATCTCTGCAAGTATATATTTTAAATATAAATGTTGATGAATGATGCTATTATTATTTCTTAGGTTTTCTCATCAATTTGTTACCAACACATTTAACAACATGTAGAATCTTCATGTTCTGGTAAATTAATAATCTATATACTTATATAGATACAGAATGTTTTCCGATTAGTACAATCAGATTGGTGTAGTCAGAAACACACACACACTGAGTAAACATTCATTCATTTCAGGTGGAAGCATACCAAGAATGACCGTTAATCCAAAAGCTCTCCTTGGGAATCTAAATGAAACTTCACTGGAAAACATGAAGTGGGATGTCAACAATACTGGACAGCCTGATTTCACTCTGGTGGGGCTCTTCAGTCAATTCAAACACCCAGCTCTCCTTTGTTTGATCATTTTTGTGATTTTCCTGATGGCTTTATCTGGAAACACCATCCTGATCCTATTGATATACACTGATGTCCGTCTCCACACCCCCATGTACTTTTTCATCAGCCAGCTATCTCTTATGGACATGACATACATTTGTGTCACTGTGCCCAAGATGCTCATGGACCAGATCATGGGTGTGAATAAGATATCAGTCCCTGAATGTGGGATACAGATGTTCCTCTATGTGACACTAGCAGGTTCAGAATTCTTCCTTCTAGCAGCCATGGCTTATGACCGCTATGTAGCCATCTGTCATCCCCTTCGCTACCCTGTACTCATGAACCACAGGGTGTGTCTCCTCCTGGCATCTGGCTGCTGGCTCCTGGGCTCAGTGGATGGCTTTCTGTTTGCACCCATCACCATGACCTTCCCTTTCTGTCGATCCCATGAAATTCATCATTTCTTCTGTGAAGTTCCTGCTGTACTGAAACTCTCCTGCTCAGACACCTCCCTCTATGAAATTTTCATGTATCTGTGCTGTGTTCTCATGCTCCTCATCCCTGTGATAGTCATTTCAAGCTCCTATTACTTTATCCTACTCACCATCCACAGGATGAACTCAGCAGAGGGCCGGAAGAAGGCCTTTGCCACTTGTTCCTCACATATGACTGTGGTCATTCTTTTTTATGGGGCTGCCATTTACACTTACATGCTTCCCAGCTCCTACCATACCCCTGAGAAAGACATGATGGTGTCTGTTTTTTATACCATACTCACTCCTGTGCTAAACCCTTTAATTTATAGTCTCCGGAATAAGGATGTTACAGGGGCTCTGAAAAAAATGTTGAAGGTGGGACCTGTATTTCAAGAAGCTATGAAATAGAAAATTCTGATATTAATGTGTTTTTCCTACTCTCTATACCCAATAAGTTTATAATACTGTGATAAAATCATTTTTATTCTTCCTACCATGGTATCTCATTTCATTTTCACAACTTTTAATGATGTATTTATACAAGAAAACTCTTCAATTGTCTAATATTCCTATATGCAAAATTATTATACAACCATATTGTGTTGTAGTTGTATCTACTGAAGTTGATGACTGCATTCTGAGTCTGTAAAAGACCTATATTCTTAGAAAATACTTGAGAAAAATGGTCATAAGATGTTATATAATTAATTTAAAGAGAGAGAGAGAGACTGATTTCAGGAACATGCATTAACAATTTGTGTGTGTGTTGTCTCTTACTCTTGCTACTTTTATGTAGGTATAAAATATTTCACACATACAAAAAAAAATATATTTTGCCAATTTTTGAGTTAGAAATTTTCTTGTATTTTATAGCAATATAAGTGACATCCTAAAAAAACATGTTCATTTCCATGTGGTTGCTTATAATAAAACAATCCCATTATCTGCCTAAATTTACTTGGGGCTACTTTGTTCCATGTGACTTAACAGTGAACGTTAGTGGGGGCAAGATTGGAGGCTATGTGAAATTATTAGCATATGGAATTTTATAAGGAATTTTAGGAAAAGTTAAACTCAGAATGGAAGGTAGATAAAAAGATTCCTTAAACACCGTGCCATCTGAGTTTTAAATTATGTAACTTATTATACAAAAATAGGCATTAAATTATCTAGTAAATAGCTAATTTGTTACATAAATTTATCTTATACTATAGTGTAGTCAAAAATAATAGACAAATTAAACTCTGACACTACAGTTATTGTTTCCAAGAATTTAACCTAGGTTTCAATTGTATATAAAACATAAATTTGTTTAAACATGGAGTCTGAAAGTACATCTCAGAGCTCTGTGTTAAGAGGTGACTAAATATTACTTTTTTTTAAGATTTATTTATATATGCATACATGAGCTGGGGTACAGACATGAGAGGATCCACCAGAGACAGAGTGGGGAGCACAAAAGGCCGATCTACTGAAATACACTGCTGTGGGGAGCAGTAGGCTGATCAGGAGAGGTCTGTTCTGCCATATGGGTCAGCTCCCCTACTGAGGATCAAATCCAGGCTACAGTGTCTTCAGATAGCTTCTTCGCATTGCATTTTCACCCAATGTGCCTCCAGGGAGTGCCTCTAGATGTCACTTTCAAATGAGAATAAGCGGTTGGGGCTATGAGGACAAGATGCCTTGTAAAATACACAACATAATCAAAAGCAAGGTGATTGATCAAGTAGGAGAATGAGCTTTCCAATCACTCTTCTTTCCTGCTTTACAGATGTATGTCTTGTCTTTCTGTGACCCAGAGTTTTACAAACAGTGGTGAAATCAGCAGATTGCATTTTATAATTGTTTCACTGGTAGTAACCACTTGGGGAAGTAAGACTGAAGGCAATGAGATCAGGTGAGTGACAATGCTCAGCTGACTGTTATTTATCTAAGTGGAATGGGCCATGCTTGAAGATCAAGGGGGCCTGGGATGGATTCAGAGAGGCCTGGGTATTTACTTATCCATCACTCACTGCCAGGCAGAGATTAGCAGTGTCCAAGTTTATTCACCTTAGGTACAGGTCTCATATGAAGCCATTTTCATTGAGACTTCAGCTGTTTTAAATGCTGGTAGCTGCTGCTTTTCTTCATGGCCTTCAGAACCAAGAGTGGAGAGTCTGTCCCTTATTACCTTTTGGTTAGTCTCCACCCCTTGATGAAATCCTTTACCCCCACCCACCTCTTTTATATCTCTATCTCGATCTTGATGCAACCACTCACTGATAATGAACACATATTGCAGATTTTGGTCAATTTTGATTCCATCTAGATTATATGTGAGGATTACATATTTATGATTAAGTTTGATTTCTGTTAATTGTCTAAAGCTTTTCATAAATATGATTTTTATAATCATATTTTATAAGATTATTTGATTCTGCTGTTTGACTTCTACCTAATTTTTCCTTTTATACATTATTCATGGTAATAATGTATATCCTATATAATTTCATATAAATTTATATTAGAAATGTAATATCTTCCCAAACGTGAAGCTTCAAAATATGCCAACATTTTTGTGTGCTGTGCAGATTTCTTTGTGGTGTCTATGTGTCAATTATTCTCTTTCCAGTTTTGAATTCCTTAATTTGTTTAGCAAAAATTTCTTATTTTAACATTGTAGAAATTGCCCACCACATTTTCCCGTCTTTTTAAAAATATCATGGAATTTGTTTAGTATACTGTGAGGCAGATATCTAATTTTATTTTAAAAGGCAGTTTACCTAGCAATATCACATAGGGTGATTCAGTCACTTTTCACATAAAACACATATATTCTTATCTCCTCACAAACTGTTGAGGCATACAAATACCTAAAATGTAATGAATTACCATGGGTGAGGTGGGGCATTCAGGTTCAACTGTGAATCTAGAGAGATGTAGATATAGAAAGATGAGTCTTCTGGGATAAAGAGCATCATAGCCAATGTTAACAGGCTATCCTCATGTTCCAGGCAGGTTACAGCTGTTCTGTCTCAACAGAAACCAGGCCATGAGCAGCAAAGAACAACACCGCTAACTAAAACCCATGAAGGATATAGTGGACGTTGGTTTATGTAAGGTAACAATCCAACTTACAACAAAAGTTATATTAAATACCCTGAACATACACGGAAGCCTTGAAGGGAGATCCAGGATTTCAAAAATACAGGACACATCTCAAAACAGACCTTACTGATAAGAAAGAGAATGCTATTGCCAATTTTAAAATGAATTTCCCCCTTCCTAGCTTTCTAATATGCAGCGGAGTCAAAGCATTTGGAAAAAAAAATAATGACTCCCTCTTGTTATTTCTACAATATCTATCTTGAGAAATGTATAGCTCATAAGAACAACTTTCATACATATGTGTACCTAATGGTTAACAAGTATTCACCAGATGTATATTCACTTGGTAAGTGGTGCTAGCTAATACAGCAAACCATAAAATGGGTACATAATTCCTTAAACATGATGGAAGATAGTCTCCATTTAACATAAATTCTGAACTGGGCTTTTGTTAAAACAGTGGATTCTCTTCACATGGTTATGCAGATAGTAACTTTTTTTCATCACATGAGTCTCTATCGTCACTCTATCGTCACTCTATCGTCACTTCCAATTTGGCAGGACTGTTCTTATAGTTTCACCAAAAGTATATAGCTCACTTTACTCCATCATTTAATTTAATAATTTAATCATTAAAATTAATGCTTTTTTGGGCCCTCTCTGGTGGCAGAACAGGTTAAAGCACAGCACTGTGAAGCTATCCACAGCCACTGCAACTGAAGTTCGATCCCCAGCCAGAGGTGGCCCACATAGTGTGGCAGACCTCTCCTGACTCACCCGCTGCTCCCCTCAACAGTGTATTTTAGTACATCTGCCTATTCTGCTCCCCACTCTGTCTCTGGTGATTCCTCTTACTCCCTGTATCTTTGACCTGTACTCCAGTTCTGTATGCATAAATAAATAAACCTTTAAAAAATTAGATTATACCAAGGGTTGGTTATCAATGTAAAACAAGATGACAATATGAAAATATTTTTAATTAATGGGTATTATGAGAATGTAAAAAAAAATGTGTTCTTGGTATAATTTTGAATTATATTTTCTATATGTGTGATTTATAATGTGTGATTGATAATAATATTACTGATAATAATATCAATTAATACATACAATAATAAATATATGCAATTCAACTTGTCATCTCATAGATATATATGGCTGCCTATATCCATTTCCTAAATCTTCCCTTCAGTCATTTACAAACATGCTTCAGTGCATACCTACACCCACAGCTTCCTAGTTCTGAGAATTAACCCCTTACCCCCAGAGAGCCTCCATGGAGATCATCAGTTTTTAGTAAAGAATATACACCAGAACATTAAAAAACCTTTTTAATAAATGATGTTGGTAAAACAGGACTTCCACATACAAAACAATTCCACCCATTTAAAAAAAAACTCAATAAAAGACTTTGAAAACCATAAACAATATGTGAGAAATATAGGCAAACATATCATTCCTTAAATTTCATAGATAGTGTTGTAAATTTGTCCCCAGCAATGAGGAAAACTAAAATGAATATTTAAAAACTAGGATTTCAAAACTGGAAAACATAGACCTCAGGACATTCTGGAACCTCATGGAAAGGAAATGACCTAAAGACACTGGCATTGTTGACCTGATGATAAGACCTTGACATTGCCCCCCTACCCTGAGATCCCGACTATTAAGAGCTTAATCTGAGATTCCTCATAAAAGGTTCCAGCAATGCCAATTTGAAATGTATAAAAATGTATTTTGGTATTGTTGTGAGTTACTACCATTAGACTTAACTTGCTATTGATCTTTATTATAATAATTTGGTAGAACTGGAATGAGGATAGAGAGAAATTATTTCCATAAATTTTTATATCACTTTCTGATCTTCAGTGTTTTTTGTTTGCTCAATTTTCCTGTAAATTGGGCTGGATTCCAACATATTTAATATACAACTATTTTGCATGTTTGTGTGACACTCAACAGATATCCTCTGTTATAACTACTCTTCTGGGATCAAGCTTTGCTGAAAACCTGGAAATTGTGGACACCAGAAGATTAGCTCACTGATTGGTGTACTTACCACGGAAAGTACTCCTGATAACAGAAATGGTAGTAAAGCTTGTTGGAGTCCAGTCTTGGGTACACTATATTGGAGTGAAGAAAATGCCTGAAAATCAGTGGACATCCAAGGGAGTGGGAGATTTAAAAGTGACTTTAAAAGACAATAATGTCTAAACTTGTATTAATAAATTGACCCTTATCCCTCCAAGGAAATATACCACTTAGACAGGAATAAAACACATGGGTATATCTGGACAAAATTTCTAAAATATTTCTGA